TACGTTCTTCGAAAAATTTGGTCGCCGGCCGGCGGCGGCAGACGGTGGCCGGAGGCGGCGGACGACGGCGAGCGACAGAGCGGGATCGGACCCGCTCTGATACCAACTTGAATATTAAGATGGTTTTGGAAAAGTGTTTTTCACACTTTCTTCATTACTTGATTGAGTATATAAAAACATACAATATAGGCTGAAAAGGCTAAGAGCCTAGGACTGCTCATCAGACATACAAAAAGAAGATAATATAAAATACAAAAGCTTCCCTAATAAGCTATTCTAACAACACCCTATTCATATTTATCTTCTCTGGACAGACTGGAGCAGGAAAAACAGTTTTGTGATTTTTACCTTCTCTTTATATTCATTTCTTCTTATCTCTGGTCCTGTACCTGTCGACTGTCAAGCAATTGTTGTAATAGGCTGTTACATTCTGATTAATTTGTAGCTGCTTCTTTTATTGTCTTATTACACATTGATTCTTTTGTCATTGGTGGTTGTTGTAAATGATTTTGAATACTAAATGATGAGTTGGTCATAGTGAAACTGAAATATCGTTATTCACTGATTGTTGCAGGTGGACAATCCTCATTGGCTGATTATTGCACTTATTTTGTTGCATACTCTGATGGATCTTGTACAGACACTAGCAGTGCACGGGCACCAGATAGAATGCTAGGTGAAGTTCGGGGAAGTAACTCTAGGTCAGTTTTTTTCTTCAAACTTATAATGTAGTCTGTTTTTTTCATGAAATTTAATATAAAACAAGGTTTATGATTACTAATTGTTGTTCCCTTTCAATGCAGGTGTATGGCCTCATCATTAGTGCGCACAGGATTTGTGCGAGGTTCTCTGACCCAGGGAAATGGTTGTTATCAGCATAGGTGTATCAACAATTCTTTAGAGGTATAGTTTAGAGTGTTAATAATTAGGGAAATACTCTCATCTTCGGCTCCTAAATGTTTCATGTGATATATATTTTTTCATCTTTTACTGAAGGTTAATTTTGAAAGGCAATGCTTTCTTTTGGTTGACATGGAGACGACATGATGCAATACTATTATATCCTCACTGTGTCATTCAATGACAGTCTGACAAGAGTACTTAGTTGCATCAAATTTGAAAATGTGTAGCCTATTATTGCAACTGAAACTAGGAATTCAAAATTGAACTACAATGGAACTAAACAAATTATTAGTCTGAACAACCTGTCCTTCTCCCTGTCCATTTCAGGGGTTGATTGTTTGAAAAATGTATGATACAGTGATTGAATTTTTCCTGTTCTTGTTAAGTTGATGATTTCAACTTCTTGTTCTTTCCTTGTGGTTTATTTTATTATTAGATAATTTAGATTATGAAAAGTGATTATTTCTATGATTGACAAGCATATTTGAGTAGAGCACTCTTTCTTCATTATTTTGGGAAGGTTGCAACTATTGTTTGTATTTTTTCTGGCCTCTATTTGAATTGATTCATACACCTCCCTTCTTTCTCCTTTATTGTGAAACCACTGAATGAGGCTCCATATTACATACAGGTTGCTGTGGATGGTAGCTGGAAAGTGTGTCCTCGGGCTGGTGGACCCATTCAGTTCCCTGGCTTTAATGGTCAATATTTACTATTATTTTATTTGTTTACTCATTAATCTTAGATTCCCAGTAAGTTGAAGGTTTTCTTTTGATTATCAATAGGTGAATTAATCTGTCCTGCATATCATGAGCTCTGTAACACAGATCCAGTTATCGTGTCTGGGAAATGTCCCAGTGCATGTAATTTCAATGGAGATTGTGTTGATGGAAGGTGCCACTGTTTTCTTGGATTTCATGGTCGTGATTGCAGTAGACGTGAGCTCTCATTTCCCACACCATGTCTTCACTCTTAACCTTAATATTATTTATTTATTTATTTATTTTTGCTTTAACTGCTAAAAAAATCTTATGTTTAGCAGCACATTATATTTTTTACTTTTCCTTTTATTAATTCTTGTTCTCTTCACTTAATCCAGGTTCTTGCCCCAGCAATTGTACTGGCAATGGCATATGCCTCTCTGGTGGAATATGTGAATGTAAAACTGGCTATACTGGCATTGACTGTTCCACTGGTAAGCTCCAAGTTCTATTAGTTTCTCGTCTTTTTTATAAGCTAAAACATAACTTATAGTTTCTTGCTTAAAATGTAATAGTAAATAAATGACACCAACATGAGATTTTGAATAATATTATCTTGTTAGCTAATACGAAGGAAATTAGAGTACTTGAACATATGAACTGTATTATGGTTCCTTTAGGATAATTAACCTCAGTTTTTATGTAATTTGTGAAGGCTCCTAGTTTTGTCTACTCCCTCCCTCTTAAAAAAAGAAGATATATTTGAATTACATATCAATTAAAACAGATTTAGTGAGTTCACTTAAACAATATTTCATGTAGGAAAACGTTTGTTTAATTATTGTGGAACGGTAATTAATTTGTTGCCTTGTCCTTGATAATACATGCAGCTGTTTGTGATGAGCAATGCAGCCTTCACGGCGGGGTTTGTGATAATGGAGTTTGTGAATTCCGCTGTTCTGACTATGCTGGATACATTTGCCAGAACAGCTCCATTCTCCTCTCCAGTCTTTCGGTTTGCAGAAATGTGCTGGGAAATGATATTTCTGGGCAGCATTGTGCACCCAGTGAACCTAGCATACTACAGCAGCTAGAAGAAGTGGTTGTCATGCCCAATTACCATCGATTATTTCCTGGTGGTGCTAGGAAATTATTTAATATATTTGGCAGCACCTACTGTGATGAGGCAGCTAAAAGGCTTGCCTGCTGGGTAAATTCTATCTTTTCATGCCAATGTTATTCTTTAGATTCTTGTTTTTCTTGTTGTAATATATTTTATTCTTAGTCACGCCCAATTTGAAACTTTGTTTCAGTGTGTTTATTTTAATATTTATTTCACACATTATGTGTATGGCATGTAACTTTCCATTCTGATAAAAACAATAGCACAAACCAAATTTAGTTGGTTTTAAAATAATATATAGACGTGGTTATTCCCTTAGGCATAAGGTAATTCTGATTCCTGACTAACCAAGATGCTGATTCTAACATTGTGCCTTTTGAGAAAGTTGGAAACATAAAACTATAATTCTTTTGTGAATCGTATAATGCTTGGTAACGCTGTTTCTAAATTTGAGCATTAGTTGGAATGTTACTTGTTTGTCTAAAAATGTTGATACATAATTTGCAGATCTCAATCCAGAAGTGTGATAGGGATGGAGACAACAGGCTAAGAGTATGTCATTCTGCATGTGAGGCTTATAATCTGGCATGCGGAGCTTCACTGGACTGCGGTGACCAAACCCTTTTCAGCAGCGAGGGGGATGGGGAGGCTCAGTGCACCGGCTCTGGTGAGATTAAAATGTCGTGGTTTAATCGACTAAGAAGTAGTTTTTCTTTGAGAAATAGTTCCTCCAAAGGAATATCTGTAAGATATAGGCAGCTTTAGCTTCAATTGTTTTCTCTCTTCTGGGGAAGAGGGGCTTGGATTGTAACTTTTAAAGGGTTATTGTAGGAGAAATTGGTGGAATGTAACGTCTTAGATTTAGGGCCTTACTCATCCATAATTGTCTAGAAAAATGGGATGAGGAGGTTACAGGTTTGGCTTTCGAAGAGAGCCTCTTGTAGAGAAAATTGAAAGTCTTTGGAATTGGATAGGTAATGAGGGAAAAAAAGAAAGAAAGAAAGAAAGCTAACGTGGTTATCTGAGTTTAGGCCGAAGGCCTTCAAAGGGGGAAAAAATGCTTCATTTCTTTTTCTGTATATATTTCTGTCTTATTGCTCTTTGATTTACCCATTTAAATAGCCTTTTATTTATATTTGTATTTGTATGTGCTTCATTTTTTGGTATGTTTGTTTTTACGCCATGTTCAATGTTATCCGAAAATATCGACGGTCAGAAAATTCGAGGAATAACTAGTTGCGCGGGAAATAGGACTGGAGTGAAAGTAGTAGAGGTAGATTTTAAATGAGTATTTTAACCATTACTATTTCATCAGATAATCAAACATATCTTAATTTCCTAAAAATCAGGATTTAAAACAAATTAGGACCCGCTATTTATTGCAATATTTTTTAAGCAATAATTGGACTATTCATCTTTATCTCACTAATATTGATCACGTTCAAAAGCAATAAACATAGTATCGATTAGCGGATACTCGTGATAAAAGTAAAACCTGATCAACTAAATTAATAGGTATAACATTTAAAAGAAATGTTAGATGGATGGTTGGGCTAATTCCTTTTTGGTTGATATATTGTTGGGCTATTTCTTTACCCTATTGATAATAGACAGCAAAAGCAAATTTATAAACAGATGTACCTAAGCTGTCGGCCTATATCTTTACAACAATGACAATATTTATCTCTTAATGAAAGAATTTTAGAGTGCAAAAGAAGACAGGATGTGAAAATTGCCTTTATCTTTAAGCTCTGTTTGGAAGGAACGGGTGTACAAAAGCGAGAGGGGAACGAAGTGGCAACAACAATGATAATGGTGTCTGTTTGGTGGTTACAATTGAGGGAGAAGAGAATTTATAAATTAAAGGGTCGAGTTTTTATTTATTTATTTATAATTATTTTTCTTTTTTGCTGATAAGCATGTCGAGTGTAATGAAAGCTGCATGTCAATGTTTGTTGACAAAAGCTACTCCCTCTCACTCCACCTTCTTTGTTCCACTTTGCGTGAATTGTTGGGAGCGGTTGAGTCGTTTTCTTCCTTCAATATTACTTTCTTCGTTCCATAGTGTGGGCTGCTAGGAGCTGTTAAGTCGTCTCTTTGTTCCACTCCGCTTTTTCATTGGTAGTAAGAAATTCATGTCAGTTTATTTACTTGTTTATGGTTATTGTTCTCTCTGAGAATTTGGAAAATGCTTGCACGCGTGTTTATATTAGATCCATATTGATTTTACTGCGTTCATTGCGGATCTGTATTTGTAATGGGGTGCTCTATTTTTTCCAAAAGTTTTAAATATTTTTTAAGAAAGTTTTGTTTATGGTGGATTTGTAACATTTTAATCAATTAAATCGATTAGATTAATACTGTTAATTGATCAATAGCGTGACTATGGTTTATTTGCAATTGATTACACTATTTTTTAATCATTTGGAAAGGATTACATTACAATAGCAAGTTTCATTTTAATCGATTACCTTTTTTTTTAATCGATCAATTTTTTTTTAATTGATTAGGAAGAGTTATGTTTTAGGGTAAAATTAGAATATATTTGTTTACTTTATTTCTCTTCCCTCCTTCCATCATAACCACATAACTTCACAACATTGTTTCTCTTTCTCCTTTCTATTTCTTTTAAATCAAATAACTCAAAATTTTACTTTATTTTTCTTCCATATTTCTCACTCATTCCTTTCTTTTAATGTTCTATTTCTTTCCTTTTTAACAAGCATAGCGTGAATATTGACTGTTGCGTCTCTTTCTTCTAATGTTTCTCTACATTCTTTCTTGTCACACCATAAGAAAGGAAAGTCGCCTTCTTTATCTTTTAATCACGTGCATTAAGAGAAAAAGATTAATAATAATAATAATAAGTAGCAGGTTTTCTTTTATGATTTGTCTTGTTTGTACAATGATAACTGTAATCTAGTATCTACACCTCTTCAAGTTTTATTTAATTCTCCACATTAAACTAAAAGTAGGAAATTAGCTCATTAACTAAACTAAAATGAAGGAGGCCAAATTAGACGAATTCGTAATACAAGTATGAGATCATCACAGAATTTGTAAATGTACTTGATAGCAAATATTTATTCACTAAAACTAAGAACAATATCCATATATATATTGATAAAGTGTATAACATGCATGTGAAACTATCCACTTATTGGAGAACTCTATGCTTATGCGATACTAAAATACTAGTGACTAGTACAAGGAGATGGGGCAAAAGGTGATGATGTAATCAGATCGAAGACAGGCGCCAAGGTCGAAACCATCCTCATCGAAAGCGTAACTATAAGCCAAGGGACAAGCGCTTTTGAAAAAATCCGAGTAACGCGTCGGCGGACACGTGCCCGGCGACGAGTAATCGCCGGTGCAGCAATACTCGGCCGTGTTGAACGCCGTGCACGCGCTCTTGCACGCCACCACCGCGCCGCCGCCGTCCCTCACCTGCAGCTCCGCCGGACACGCGGCGTTCAGGTCCGCCGCGCACCCCGTGGCCCCGCACCCTTCGGTAGCCTGCACACTCATCCCCACGTTGTAACCGTCCACTAGACTCACGTCGTAAAGGTCAAAACCGTCGTTTCCGATGGTAAACTCCGCCAGCGTCGCCGGCGGGACGCCTGACCCGGTGCATTTTAGTCCTCCGGCGCAGTCTCCCGTGACGCATTTCCCGTTGCCGGAGCCGTCGAAGCTGCACCCGGTCCGGGCCCAGATGCGGCCTGACCAGCCCGACGGTGCGGTGAGGTTAACCGCCGAACCGGGCTGCAGGGTGAAACCGCCGCCGC